TTTTTAAGCGAGAGTAAAGTACGCGTTCATAACGGATGTTAATACGCTAGTCGCCTTTTATTACCAGCTTAGTCTGCGCTTTTTACATTTATTTCGATGCGTTTGTTTTAGCGAAAGAAGCGTCAGTTTACTTTGCGTCGGTTATTGTTGTCTTGTTTTATACTAAAAGCGGATCAAGTTTTTATTGAAGCGTTAATAGCTTTCGTTGCTTATTGTTTTCTCTAAAATGATGTGCATGCTGTGGAAAGCAAATGTTGTTTTCTATACAAATCAAATATTGTAGTAAAAGCGGACGGTATTTGTGTTATTGTTAAATGTGGATTGCCTCGTTTATATTGCAGTAGAAGAGTAAACCCAATAGTAAACTATAGTAAATTTAATAGCTTAAATTTCAAATTTAACTAGTTTATTTTATAGAGAAATTTCCGTAGATTAAGACTCTGCGATTCGTTACTTTCTATCTCGTTTAGTTTACGACATATTCGCAATTAAAATAAATAGTCAAAAATTAAAAAATTGCAATTTTTAGCATATTCAGTTGTGGTTTTAGACCTTTTACCCCATTAAATTAGATTAATTTACTATTTTATCTGATAGAGAATTTTTCATTCTTTCATAATCAGCAATTCGTTGCTTGCTATAGCTTTTAGTTTAAGAGATATTAATTATCAAAAATCGTCGAAAAAGTATCAAGCACACCCTTGGCAAGTTTATCTTAAAATTAAAATTTAATCTCTCAGATTTCCGTTTTAACGATCCTATCTGATAGAGAATAGTTCGTAGATAAAGACGCCGCAAACGGTTCTTAAATATCTCTTTTAGTTTACGAGATATTCGCGATTGAATAAAATGGGCAAAAATTGATAAATGTCACTTTTTAGCACTTTTAGTCAAGTTTTTCGACCTTTTACTGTAGGAAATATAAATAATTTATATTTTTATCTGATAGAGAATTTTCCAATCTTTCATAATCAGCAATTTGTTGGTAGCTGCCTCTTTTAGTTTAAGAGATATTAATTTTTGAAAATCGTCGAAAAAAAGTATCAAGCACCCCCCCTTGGCAATTTTTTCTTAAAAATGAAAATTTCATCTCTTAAATTTCCGTTTTAACTATCGTATCTTATAGAGAATAGTCCGTAGATTAAGACGCTGCGAACGGATCTTAAATATCTCTTTTAGTTTACGAGATATTCGCGATTGAATAAAATGGCCAAAAATTGATATATGTCACTTTTTAGTATTTTTATTGGCGTTTTTTACCTTTTACTGTTGGAAATATAATTATTTTAGGTATCTGACGTAAGACACGGTCAAACATATTTGTTTAAAATACGAGTATTTTCGGTCGAAAACAGAGTCAAACTTTTTTAGATTAAATATTTTCTGTCAAAAGACAGGGTCCACCTTTTTTGTTTAAAATATTTTTGGTCGAAAGACAGGGTCGAACTGTTTTCGTTAAATTATTTTCGGTCGAAAGACAGGGTCGAACTTTTTTGTTTAAAATATTTTTGGTCGAAAGACAGAGTCGAACTTTTTTGTTTAAAATATTTTCGGTCGAAAGACAGAGTCGAACTTTTTTGTTTAAAATATTTTCGGTCGAAGGACAGGGTCGAACTTTTTTGTTTAAAATATTTTCTGTTGAAGCACAGCAACAAACGTTTATGATAAAATTATTTTTGGTTGATTCATTTGCAACGTTTGTTGCAAATTTAAGAAGAAATACTTTATTTTAATCCATAAATATTTAGATTAAAAAAGTACATATCTTGACTTTATACTCTAATTACTACCTAAACAATTAGTCTTATAATAAAATAGTGCTAACATAAAATACTCAGAATCATCAATTCTTTATTGTTTTGTTATAAAAAGTTCAAGTATTAAATTTTTATTTTTTATATCAGAGACGATGGAGAAAATTAAAAATTCAGTTTATTGCAGTTTTCTTGCAAACTAATAATGCTAAAGAAAAACGCTTTTCAGTATTGTATTCAAGGTAAAATTTTGCATCTAATCCCATACAAAAAATTTATGTTTTCTATAATTATGTAATTACTGAAAATGGTCAATAACTTGAAAACTAATAATCATATCGGAACAAAACCTGAAAAAATGGCTTTCTTACACAATTCTGCACCTAGTTGGTAAGTTTCAAGAAAAACTGTACAATGGTTCAATTTACTCGGTACCGATTTTCACCAGATTTTTCCAAAATATTGATGTTATCGGAAAACGGACTGCATATCTTTCACCACGTTACAATTCTCTATTGATTGCCGTTTTTCATTTTCCTCTAGCTTAACTTTTAATTTTTAGACCAAAAAGTAGTCTCTTGATGATTTTTAGCAAGTTTTTGTCAACTGTATAGAATCAAAAAACTAAATCTGCCATTTTGTAGACGCTTGTTATGGCATGAAAGAAATGCAAAAATGTTCATTGTAACTTTTATAGTTTCCGAGAAAATTACGTCGAAAAATTAGTTTTCACTACATCAATTTTTTTATTTTAAACTCTTATTCGATATAGATATCCATTCTGAACATTTAGCCGTTTTCCGTTTTTGATTATCTTTATTAGTTCTTGAGATAATTTGCTATTAAGTGATGTTGCAAGTACATGTCGCAACTAAATACGTCTACAAGCCATGCCCTTAGTACTATTAAAAAGGAAGTTGTGTAAATAAGCCAATTAGAAGCGGCACTAACTAGAAACATCATTTTTAATAAATTTAAAAATTAGTAATTAAAATGTTAGACGCCTCCACCAAATATTTATTAATTAAATTAATTTTTAAAGAAATTAAAAATTGATAATTTTTATTGTTGATAAATAAAGAAAATAACTTTACAAATGAAGTATTTAAATAACTTTTTGTAATTTGACCTAAAATTTAAAAGATAAACGTTAAAAATTGAGTTCAGTAATGTAACTCGGTTGACAAAAATAAAATCGTCTTAGGACATGAACAATGAGTAATGGATAAAAATCTTACTAAGATTTATTGATAAGAATTAATTGTTTGATTAGAATCTGAAAACAGAAATTAAAAATTCCAACTTTTAATTTTGAGCATAAAAAAGAGAAAAGATTTGACTTTTTTAGGACAAAATCTTTTCATCGATGTTTCGACATGAAATTATTTAACCAAAAAAGTTCGGCCCTGTCTTTCGACCGAAAATAATTTAACCAAATAAGTTCGGCCCTGTCTTTCGACAGAAAATAATTTAATCAGAAAAATTTGGCCCTGTCTTTTAACAGAAAATTGATTTAACACAACAATTAAACCTTGTTCATTGACCTAATTAATATTTAATCATAATATCAAAGCTAGTTTTAGCCATAAAATTAATAATTTTGACAAAAATAGCTAAGTTTCAGGACCAATTTTAGAGCAGTTCTAGCCGATTTAGAGGAAAGAAAAAATATACATCTTATTAACTAACTATCGAACTACAGCTTACCCTTAAAAAATTTTTAATTACTCTATTAGTTCCGTAGATATAGGGTGTTTTCTGAAGCACGTTTTGACCAATTGTGAAAAAGGTCGATATTTAGTGATCATTTACGGGCAATTCCAAAGGGTTAGAACGTTTAAAATATATACCAGCCCTTGAATGTCTATTCAACTATATTATCACATCAAAAAAACCTAAATTACCCTGTTAGTACAAGAAATACAGAGTGTTTTTGACAGTCAGTTTTGATAATTTGTGAATAATACACATTTTTGATTAGCATTTTAGGGCACTTCCTTTAGCTTTAGTGAATAAAAAATAAATGCACAAGTTAAAGGGTTTCTTGAACTACAATTTGACATGAATTTACCTAAAATTTAATTGTTAGTATAGGAGTTGCAGGGTGTTTTCTTTAGCGTGTTTTGAAAATATTGAAGAATTGACCAGTTTTGACCATAATTTATGGCATTTTTTAAAAGAATTGAGAAAGTAAAAATATTGCATGTTATATAAGGTCTTTTAATCTACAATATATCAGCAAACCCTGAATATTACTCCATTAGTATGGGAGATACAGAGTGTTTTCAACACTACGTTTTGATTAATTTCAAGAAAGAAGCATTTTTAGCGCGCAATTTGGGACAGTTTTTGAAACTTTACAAGAAGCAAAAAGTACACATTGCAAAGGGCGTCCTAACCTACAATATGACATTGAAAAACATTGAATTGCTTTTATGGTTCACAAGATATAGGGCGTTACCCGCATCAAGTTTTGATAATATAAGAGAAACAGTAGGCAGGCGGTATTTAAAACAAATAGCTATGTTACTTCACTAATTTTTTAATAAAAACTTAAACTAAAATATTTTTATTGTACATATATGATGTGCTAACGAGATATAAATTGCTTATCTTACATGTGAAAATCATTAAGATACCGAGTAATCCAAAAAATAATTTATCATATAAACTAATATTTACGACAAATGTTTCCATGATCCTATACATAAATTCAACATAAAGTTACTTATTAAAGCTAAATGACATTAGAAATATTTAAATCCATGATTTTGATATATTGAGTATCAGTTTTGTAAATGTGTAAAATTTGCGAACTGGATAAAATTTACGATGCGTATATTTTTCGCATTTCGACATGTTCGCTGCGCACAACACATGGACTAATCGAAGCGTGACATTAAAATATACGCGCATCAAATATCATCGTAATTCGTTAAATTATTATTACTACAGCACAGTGCGTGGCATATTTATTAATTAGCATAAATATATCAATCGCACCGGACACAACCGCACAGTACAGCGCACAAATGATAATTAATTTTCCGCTACTCACGATATCCAGTAAAATTACTAATTGTATTCGAAATTTTCTAATGGGAACAATGAGCACATAAACGTATATGGAAATTCCTACAGGTCTTCAAAGCGTTGCAAGTCACCTCATTCTTATTTTCGTGTTATTCATGACTGTACTTTATCACTCCTTTCAGTTTAATGCTAAACGATTTCTTTATATTTTAGATGCTGATGCTGATGCGCCGGTGGAAGACATAAACGACATCGGAGCGTCGTACCCTCCATTTGAAGGCCCGCCCGTACAATTCGCCACCGAAAACTGCACGGTGACAACGTCGCAAATAGGATCGACGGCTTTTGTCCCTTGCGTCGTTAATAACATTAGAGAGGGAATTGTGAGTATGAGTATATAGAGTAACACTTTATTTTTTAATATTATTTAAATGACTTGTAAAATGTTAAAAACGTCTTGCATATAATCAAGAGTAAAAATTTGCAGTATTTTTAACATTTTATATATAAAATTTATATAACATTTGTACTAAGTAGCAAGGTGATATGTTACCAAATGCAGAAATTGCAGATTATTGAACTCGAAGAACAAAACACTGCACAAACAATAAATTATTAAATATTTAAATTCAAAACATCCTGCATAATACATGAATATTCAAAATAGACGTGAATATCCAATGAAAAACATTACTACATTTTGTTTGGTTCTCCTGCAGAAAATTCTTAAATTCACAATTGCTGCGCACAGTGCACCAGAATTTGTTGCAGCTTGCAGTAGGAAATTCTTTATCCTGCTATAAATGTTTCTAGTCTACCGAGCGTTAAAAATGCAAATTTACGTTTACTGTATTCTCGTATTCCAGTAGTATGACTGTTATACATTGTTTTCAACATCTTTTAGTATTTTTAGATGTTTATCGAGAGCAAGACGTTGTGCATGAGTTGCAATGCATTAATAAATTATTTATTCATCTATACTTCAAAGTTGCGCAATAAATTTCACGCAGTAATTGAAATTATAATTTTTGTTCATTTACGTTAATAAATCACTCTTAATTACGTAGCAAGTCCTTAAAAAAGAGCACAGAATTTAAATACGTTTAATTCTGGCCTCATGGTAATGATTGCGCTTTGTAATTTAATTTAATTGCCGTAATGGATCGCGTAGTGTACGCAAAAAAGCGGTGTGTGACATGGCGTTAGACATCACCGAACTGAAATTGCAGCCTTAGGAACGTGCCACCGCTACCGATTGTTTGAAATGCACTTTTCTGGTGATGGACAATGCGCAGATCTAGCAGATTTCCGGTTTTGTTGAGTCGGTAGTAGGCAGTGGCGTAATTGAGGCTTTGTATGTGCGCAGAGAAATCGCGTAACGAGCACATTAGGTCGACACATTTTCGCGAAAAACGCGCACGGCCAATCTCTATACGTATTCCCAAACGGGTAATTCTTGCTTTTTTTCACTTTTTCTATTAGGAAGCACAATGGGCCATTGCATTTTAAGTTCGTGTCGTTGCCATTTGTTTAAAAAAGTTGTAGAGAAAACAAAGGGGATTTAATTTAAATCTGCACGTAAATGCAATTTATTTTGTAGTGTACAAATTGTTTATTAATGCATAGATTTAATATGTTTTATTTTATTTTGTTGAAATATTTATACAATAATTTTATTACTGCAGAGAATATTGTAGACATGTTAAAACAAACAAAAATTGCCTTTGATGTTTATTTTTGGGTAAATTTATTGTCATCAAATTGTTTTCACGATGTGAAAGTAATTCTACCGTAGGAAGCATTAAATTTCATGGCAACTTTAGGCTGCTTATGCAGTAAAACTGTTATATACTCTAAAAATTAAATTTTGCAAAAATAATTTCATTATTCGTAATTTTTTCAAAAATCAGCGGAATTGCTGAAACTAATCATAATATAATTATTCTTTCTTTGAATTCACAGTAAAAATGTGTCAGTGTGAATATAGATGCTTTCGTAATCTTATCGCATTAAAATTGCAGGTGTCCTGGATAAGGCGGAAGGATTATCATCTACTTACCGTCGGCCCGACAACGTACAGCAGCGACGAGCGCTTTCAGGCGGTGCACATCCAGCACTCGGAGGTAAAATTTCTATTTCATTAATACTACATTCGAACGACACCACCTACCTACGCCCACGCCTCGTAAAGTTCGCACGGGGCATAAAAAGCGCGCAGAGGCACGTTGAATTTTGCATTCGGCGCGATTTGCATTAGTGCCGCTAATCCATGCACAAGGATTTGTTGATGCCAATTGCCGTGCGTTAAGCAGCTATTCAAAACATACCCAGACGAAAAACACAATTGAAAACTTTTAAAGTTCAGGAAAAATTTATTTTATTGCAGTTTTAAATCGAAAATAAATTTATGAATAATTGAATATAGAAGTTGGTAATAAATGTTTTAATGCCGTTGTTAAATATAATTATTGATTAGAAATTACGTTTTAGAAGTTTGTAGTCACGAGGTATCCGTTTTGTTATATCGCGTGGATATAACACACAATGAAATTCGATTTGGATCAACATTCATTGGGGTTCTTCAGTTATCCCAAACGAACTCTGAATGCGCGTACTTCAAGCGGACACTCGCGGTCCCGACGCCATTATTCCACTTAATCGAATATCTAGGTATCTCCTTTCTCCAATTTCTCTTTCAATTTTCACCTACATCCACTAAAATATCTAACTAAAAGTAAAACTATTGTGTCTTTTCATTCTATTTCTGTTTTTGTGACGCTGTAAAAGAATAAAAACGCAAACGAGATAAAAATCTCGACACACACACACACCCGTTTCTCTGTGTATAATTGTGCTGATACAGAAAGTTATCAACTTCCGGCGCATTGTGCTCACCCCACATCTGTTCACGTCACCGCCACCGGCCACTGGCTGCGAATACAATGAGACGCGGTGTGTGGCGGCGCGCGGCGCGAGATGAGAAAGCCGACGACACGATGCGCACCGGCCATCACAGGATTTGCAATTGTTGTCGCAGCCCGCCAGCCCGAGTGTCAGAGACTCGAATGGGTGACTTAATTGCTTTTTCCCCATCGCAATCGGAACGTGCCTACATGTGCGCGCCGCAAAATGCCGAATAGTTTTTCGCGTCGTTTTACTGCCTTCCCACCTCATCGCACTCGCATTTCCATTTTCTATTCGTTATCCGTTTGTTTGCTTGACCATTTTGTTTGTGAACGTCGAAGCAATATGCAGCAAGGATGCATTTTGTTTCGTTTCATTTTTTTTATCCAACCCAACACGTATTTATTCACAAATAAACAGCGTTTTGTTACGTGTGAACAAAAAAAGTGAAATAAAAAGAAAACACGTGACAAAAAAATATTTATATTAAGTTGGACAAATAAAGCTTTTGTTCAAGTCCTGGGCTGAAAATCAGCTTTTTGCGATGAATGAAAAACCAGCTCGCTTAATTATATGCATTTTTTTCTGTGTTTTTTTCCAACGGGTATTCGTTTTAATTCCGACTTCTTTACGTCGACGCACAATTCTAATTTTTCTCCGCGTGTCCTCAATTTCTGCTCTTAAAATTCCTTCTAACATCCTCACGTTCCGAGTTTTTTTTGTTATTTGTTTGTTTTTTTGCCCCCGCACGTTCGCGGTCGGCGACTTTATCTGGAGCGCCGGGAGTAGTTTGTCTGCTTTTCATTAGTGAGGCTTAATTTGCAGCTAACACAGAACTCCATCGTGACATTCAAAGCTCGTGCAGGCTAGCGTTTTCAACTTTGCTGATAAAGCATTATCAGTTGCCTAACTCGTCCACTTATTTGCTGCCGCAGCTAGCTGGTTCATTGCGGTCGTTCAATTATATCGGTTATAAGCCATTCTTTGCCTTGTTATACCGAACCAGGCTTCTTCTCATTCATTTCAGTGCAGTGAAAAAAATATATATAACAGGCGAAAAAGCGTTGTTTCAGCGGATTTGCTTTCCTTACAAACTGAAAACTTTTGTTCTAAAATATTAACTCTTTAATTAAGGAAGCCATGGAGTAATAATGAATTTTTAAATTAACATCCAAGAAAAAATATACGAAAATTTCATATTTTTATAAACAATACAGAAAAAAACAAATTTTACTTAAAATACCTTTTTCTGAGGAATTTATCAACTAGTAAAAATAATTTTATATAAATATAGAAAATATAAAGAAAAAAAACTTGATACAAAGTTTTAACCTGAACTTTTCATCGGAATATTTAAATATTTTAATTTTTAATCAACCAATTTAACTTTACTCTTGCAACTTGACACCTACGTGAACACTGAAACATGACATTAGTTATAGAACTTAGTTTGAATTGAAATCGTAACGCAAAATAGGTGTTTTCTTTCTTTCAGGACTGGACGCTGAAGATCAAGTACGTGCAGCTGCGCGACGCTGGACTTTACGAATGTCAAGTGTCATCGCATCCGCCGACGAGTATTTTCATCCAGCTGAACGTCGTCGGTAAGATGCCCTTTTTACTAATTTAGCATTCGAAGCATGCCATTGCGTCGTTCGTCACAGAACTCTTCCTGAAAACTTCAGAGTTATGCGGAGCAGACTTGAATTCAAAATTTAAACTTTTGCATCGTTTTTTGTACGAATTTGTTTATTGTATATTTATTGTTTATAATTTGTGATTTGGAGTTTTGTGAGTTTTCTACGCGTGGTTTGTTTGGCTGCTAGTTGGAGTAGTAAAGATATATATTGGCGCGCACTTGGCAACGCGAAGAAGAAATAAAATAGAAAAACGCTTAAAGTAGCAGCTTTTATTTTATATTAAAGAAGTTTCGGGCGGGCGGGCGTCGTTGTCGATGGTTTTAAGGACATTACTGCGTGTTACTTCTTGTTCTATTGCTTCGGCAGCAAGTTGTAACATTAATAACGACGGACGCTTTCAACTTTCGCCCCGGTTTCGCCTCCATTCGCCCGCGATAAACAGGCAAATACCAACACACAACTAAGAAAGAAGATAGAAACTAGGAAGTTGCTTGTCGGAACGAAAACGAGTGCGGATTTAATTAATTTGGTCAGTGGACGACTTCTAAGGCTTGATGCCGGCAATTACACGCCGTGAATATCAATTAGATACGAGCAGGCAGGCAGGGAGCGAGAAAAAAAAAACGAAGCAGTAAGCCAACGCTTTTCTGAAAACGAAAGTGAAAAGTGGCCAACGCCTCAACGGGAAAATATTAAAGCTGATGCCAGCATTTGTATACAAATGGATAAACGAATAACAGACTGTGCCGCGGCGAGAGTAGAATAGCAAAGCGGATAGAAAATTCACGAGAAAATTCTATACAAAATTCAAGTCGTGTTCTATACACTCTACTTTCAGTTTCGATATCCTTCGGACGCAGCACAATAGAAAATGAAATCAATCACTGGAAAAAAGTCGATATCTGCCAACAAACAACAACAACAAGAATGTAGTAATACAGGACCGGCTCAAATATTAAAACTATGTTTTTTCTTCTGTGTTTTTTAGAGGCGAGAGCAGAAATATCAGGACCAGCTGAAAAATATCTCAAACCCGGCTCTGGGTTGAAATTGCAGTGCACAGTGCTACAAAGCACCGAGAATCCAAGCTACGTGTTCTGGTATCACAATAACAGAATGATCAACTACGACGTCGATCGAGGAATCAATGTGAGCACTGAATTGACGGCGAAGACAAGCACGCTGACGATCACCAATGCGGCGACTAGACATTCCGGAAATTACTCTTGCGTGCCCAGCAATGCCCAGCCAGCTAGCACATATGTACATATACTCAATGGTAAGCAATTTAAAATGTTTTAAAATAAAAAAAAATTAAAGTTAAAAATTACTTTTGAAGCAAATTAACGTCAGAAAGTAAAAAGTTACAGCCATTCTCAATAGTGTATGTTAATTGTCTTCGATTTGCGCTGTCTTCTTGAAATATACGAGAAGACTGTACATTTGCGGTGGGCGATAACGATAAAGTAAAGTTTTAAACAAGTCGAGCGCTACAGCTCCCAATGCAGAAACAATTTGCTCCGCCAAAGACTAATAGGAGTTGAAGATAAAGACGAGTTGTAATATCTTTCCAAAGTCCGCCCCAAACGAGTTTCAGTCTTGAATTACAAACTTTCCGGAATCGAAATTTAAAATCTAAATTTAGTTGTGACTAAATACGAAGCCTTTTATGAGTTTAATCAGCATTCACCTGTTTGATCATCGTAAATCCGAGCGAAATCCGCGTAAAAACTTGTTGACACTCTTTGGTCGCACAGATTAATCCGTGTTTGTTTTTGCAGGAGAAAATCCAGCGGCGATGCAGCACGGCGGCCGCGGATTATCCTGGCTGCAGTGCAGCCCATCGTCCTGGCTGCTCATTATCGGCGTCTCACTGATCGTCGCGCATCTGTCCTAGTCATCCAGCGCTCTCGCATTCGAAACAATCAACAAGCGACAATTACATTCAACGTTTACTGTTAACATAAAATTAACCGCATTGTTCTTCAAACAAGATTAATGTTGGGCCGAGTGATTCAACTCAAGTGTAGTTAATTGAGTGCAGTGCAACAGCAAATACTCGACGAGTGATAAACTTTAGATTTGATTAAAATTAAAATATTGACTGTGTGATTTATTGAATGCAGAAAAAAACTTCCGGCCATCGCGCGTTGGATTTAATTGATTATGATTATATGTATGGTTTTAATAATACATACAAAGTTATAAACTAATCAATTCTTATAGAAATAGATTGAAATTTAAGTAAATTTAAGTAATGAAAGGAAACACATGTGGAATTTATATACTTAACACTAGCCAGGATCAAAATAATGCATGGATGCAAAACAAATGTGTTTAACTGATGTTACACTACCTGATAAGAAAGAATATTTTGTAATGAAGAAGTTTAATTGATCCAACAAACATTATATTGATAATAATTGATGTTAAACAATGAAAGCGTTTTTTTAGTAATGTAAATAAAAATTATTAAACGTGACAATTTGTGAAAGTTCAATCAAACTCATAAAGGAAGACATAACTGAAGTTTTGTGTATAATAAACATTAATAAATTTCTTCACAAAAAGATAATATGAGCTACAAATAAGAGAGACGTGCATAATTCCTAAATATATACATGTATACATGTCATTTTTAAACATTACAAAATTGACTTATCTTTAATCCATTTTAACGACTCTCATTCAGTACTGAAACATCAACCAATATTGTTTTTAGCATCACGATTGTGATTACAAAACTTGAAATAAATGAACAAATTGTTCCATGCTGCCGTTATGATACTCATCAGTTAAAAACCAAAATGGGAAATGTACTCTATGTTTATGTTTACATACTGTTAATTAATATTGATATTCGTAATGGTACTGATAACAATTATTGTGAAATGACACGAATGCCACACGAATGGATGACGAGCGGGCGAATTAAAAGAAAAGCTAAATGATAATTACATACATATATAAATATACTTTAATAAATAAATATGGATTAATTAGGCATATACGGACGTATGATAAAAGAAACATTTGATTAGTTACATTGGAAACAAATTAAAACGCGACGGACAAGCAAAGAGATTTGATTAATGAAAAAATATAATAAAAATGATAATTTCACAAAATTAATCCATGACTGAGTTTCATATGTTAATAAAATACATTATTTTATAATTGTTTATTAACAATAATAGTCGGTTTTATTTATAATATGTTTGTATTAGTTTTAAAATAATGTTGAAACATAGATAGCGCCAATTTACTTTAACTAAGACTTACTTAGAGTTTTCCAATGTTGTTAATATTATATAGATAATACTTATATAATTAATTATATACATACATTCCATTATGTACTTATAACTATTATATACATGTATAAAAATTTATTTAATAAAAAATATGTAAATATCAAGTACGTAAATGTGTTTTTATAAGATTTCCAGGTGTCGAAATTAAACGTCTACAAATAATTGAGAAGATTTCTTATTGCCATTCATGTTTAAGTATTGTTACTTAAGATTAGACGGTAACATTGCAACAGCAAAAATAATAGTCAGTAGTATATGTTAATATTTGTCCAGGACGACGAGTAATTCGTATGTTATTATATTCTTTAGTTGTCTTCGAAGAATATTTAAACAATTATGTTTTCTATCGGCCTAAGTTGTAAGATGATATGCAAAAATACACACGTTTATATTCTGGATGCAATTAGATTTGATATCTTTATATTTATATATTATTTCAATTATTGTTTTGTTAATGTACAAACATTTATGTTTTTTTTGTTTTAATTATGGTTAATGTAAAATTAGTTGATAATCTCACTTAATGTTAACTTCTCGTACCATTCAATGGAAGGACATGGAATTATTTTACCATGCTTAACATCAGGTTTATCAATATTTACATTAATTAAACGTATTGATATTAAAATATGAATTTGAAAATTATTTTAGTTTAAAATCAAAAAATTTGATTTATTGAATAATTTTAAATAAATTTGTACGATTATTATTTAAATATTGTTAATAATTTTCAAATTCATACAGATAATATCTTGTCATGAAGATTTAAAGTTAAGATTAGTCTTATTTCAATATTAGCAATAAAATTTAGTATTTACGTTGATAAATGGAAATAGAAAATCTACAACATTTTCATTTTTATAGTTTATTAGCGAAACAACCATGATAATTGTCATTTTTCTTTCATTTTTTAAGCTAATGTGTTAGTTTGGCTTAATTTGAGTTTGTTTTGCTTAGCTTAGTATAGCTCTCGTCATTATTATCCGTTTTGATTACATTCCTGGCATATTCCAGCACTGCTAGCGCATTAACATTCCATCCATTCATATTAATAGATTTAAAACGGTCATCTGTGCATTATCACAGGTAGCAGGACATACATCACCAGCAGGTGTTGTTTTTGTGTACTTTGTCTTGAAGAATGCGAGGATGTAGATGAGTTTTTGCTTCCGTGCTGCATTGCAGCTGGTTTTTCACCTAAAATTAATCAAATATTAGTGTTTATAAATGGAAATTTGTTAAAAATTTTGTGAAAATATTAAATATGATGAATTGGCCAATTTTTGCGTGTAAAGAAATTTAATATTTTGAGTTACATGCGGATTATACGCATCTGTTTGAAACTGAATATACAAACAAACACAGAGGAGGCGTACAAAGGGATAGAAAGGGATTAATTGCTATCGATCGGTCGTAAATAACAACACGAATGGTCATCATGATTTGTAATCTCATGTTAAATAAATATACTGTCTGTTACGGTGAATTATTTAATCAAATCAAAATGCTAAAAATTTTCAATAAAAATTCTATTTCTACAAAACTAACATAAAAACTTATTTTCATCTAAGGAAATTGTATAAAAATAATCTTTGAATATACAGAGAATAAAAAAGTTATCTTACTGTGAAGGACGTGAACATTGACACTATCCGGACGTGCGTTTGACGGCACGCATGAGTAGTTTCCGGCATGGCGAACTTCAGCGCTAGGGATGAGTAGCTCGCTGCCTTGCCGCCCGTGGCGCACCGCCGCCCCGCCGCCCAGATCGTAATTGATCATACGATCGCCATGATACCAAAAGATATATTCCGGCGCCTCTGTGCTACGCTTCAGGACACAGCTGAGCAACAGCGGCGACCCAGACTTGACGATCTTATCCGGTCCGCCAATTATTTCAGCGTGCGCTTCTAAAAACCCAATAACAATATACAAACATGTTTGAAATGTAAATTATAAACGTAAAAATCCTCTTTGTACTTTACCCACGCAAATATTGCTAAATATTATTTCAGAGTCCTGATTGCAAATATACCGCATGTTGTTTTATTTATTTTAAATAAAGTTTACGCGTTTTGACACCCTATTTGCACTGGTTGCAAGTTGGATTGTGATTGCACAGGGCAATGCGATGCATACGAACCTACTAATTGTAATTCCACATAAACACTCGCCGGAGGATGGGAAGACAATTGGCATTCGTATACGCCGGCGTCATCTGTGTCCACGTATCTGATGTGCAGCGACCAATCCTGTAGGGGGGTGTAGGTGGATTGTCAGCGTTCCAATTTCCATTCCAAATTCAAAGCAAACACATTCCGTGCGGATGCGACGTTGAAATCACAAAAATTCAACAACAAAACATTAATAACGCAAACACTCGCAGCCGAAAAAAAAAATAAAATATTGATGTAAATATTAAACATTACCTTGCCACTTTTACCACTGCGAGCGAAAAATCTGCTGTCGCTGCTGTAGGTCAACAGACCAAAAGTTAATATTTGATAGTCCCGTATCCGCTTCCAAGTGACCTGACGCGCAAAAAAATCTCATTAAAACTTTATTATATTGAAAAAAAAACGGGGTGGAAAATCCCGACAGGGTGGCGCGGCCAATTCTTATAATAAACGATCGTTGCTTTCACAAAGCACAGAAAAAAAGGAAAGAAGATAAAAGAGGTTTTCGGTTTTTCTATGACGGAAATTAATCGTTGTTACCCCAATCTGACGAAATCAATTGTCTCATTCCGTTTCAATAAGTTTTTAATACTTTTTGACATTAATAGCACAATGATGGGAAACAAATTAAACGAGGATTTATGAATTGGCAGCATTTCATTAGTGTGAAATATGAGTTTATACTTACCGTGCAATTTCCAATATCAGTAACTTCACAATGAAGAACAGCCGTCGTCCGTGTTTGCGCGTGAACTTTTGTGTGATTTGGACTGAGGAAAAACCTGGATGGTTTTACATCCACGGTTTGATACACCGAATTTGGTCCTGTGTCAAATTTGTGATTTTTACCAAGTGCTGATAAGAGATCATCTTTGTCTTTATCTTTATCTGAAAAATTAAAGTATATTTTGTTAGTTGCGACCTCTGCAGTGAAAATTCTGTACTGTGAAAATCAATGCGAAATAAGGACGAAAAGGAAAACGTTGGAGGATTGTTATGTTCGAAAAGTATGCGATAGATGGCGCAATGTGTACCGTTAGAGGTTTAATAGTCACGTTTATTGCAATTTTTACAGTCGGCAATAGAATGTTATTGTTTTGAAACTTGTTTACAATTTTAACACGCCTGATGTCACCTTTTTATCTCTCGAATTGGATATGAGAGTATTTGCTGTACATTTAATGTTCATTTAGACCGCCGTCGACAAGATCGTTCTATCGCTTATTGTCGTTTGCGCTGAAGGTTCAGCCACACTGTCCGCTGATAGCAATAAATGCGATTGCGTTCCGCGGTCAGGAAAAACCCTTTGCGCTACACGCCGAATGTTGTTGCTTCGTGCCACGATGCTGTTTTCGGGCACATTTTATTGTCACCATTAAGACGGTCGTTACACCAGAAGCCCGCGCACGCACACGAACGTGCACTATTTAACTAGTGATGAGGATTTTAAATGTCATGCCGCAACATACGCGTTCGAAGCCATCGAGGCGCAGAAGGAAACAATGAAATACACAAATGTTGAAAGCGCGCTGCGTGAAACACACAAAAGTGCTGCGGCGGCGGCGCGGATTAGGGGGTTAATGAAAGAGCGCTAGCCGACAATAACATATTTAATTAAGCGGTTTATATGTTTGCTTAGTTTATCGAGCGTGATACGCGAATGTACGCCAAATGCTGCTGGCGAATGCCGGTCGCGGAAATGCGAGGGATCGCAAATTGAAAAACAAGAAAAAACCGCATGTAAACACGTAGAGACAAAAAAATAAAATAAAAATAAATTGAAAACAGAATTTAAGCGTTAAGAAGTATAATACTTAAAGTATGATTGTTTTGATTAAAATTTTTGGTTTGAGAAACGACAAACAAAAGTGAAGACATTACATAATCTCGTCAGTATTGAAATGTAAATATTTGCAGGAGATATTTAAACATTTGTGTACCAACAACCATTATTTGCGCTCTAACAACGCGCCCAAAAGTAGATTACGCTTTTTATAAATATTAAACTCATGTAAACAGTAATAAATGGCTTCTGAAGTAAGAGTTACGCCTAGCACATACATATTTAAACAGAGCCAAAAAATATCTACCAACGGCATTGTCTTTCGACTATTTCAAGTCGCGGTTTATGGTTTAAGTTAGTTTATTGTTCTCTGAAGACCGAAAGAAGAGAAAACGCAATGTTTGTACAAAATATAATTCAAAATGTAAAAAAATGAACAAAAACATTTCTTGTAATCGCAAAGTTATTAATTTAGTATAAATGTGGGTATAAAATATGTAAATGTGTTCACAATTTGTTCAGAAACATGAAACACGTAGTAATTTCGTCTGAAAAGTTATATTTCTCTCGAAATTTAGTTCATGACGATAAACTTCCAAACGCCAAGAGCTGAATCATTCAAAAACAGATAATTTTAGTTTTTTCTATTAACATATTCATTTTTTTTATTGTAAAATTATTTATTCAGTGTTATGATTATATTATTGCAAATATGAAAATGTAAATGTAAAGCAATACCCAAGGATTAGCTGATGGCGCAAATGGTGATGAGATAACCGGCTGAATCCTTGCGTTGATAAGAAACGTATGCAATACCTGAAATTTAGACAATTTGCACCACCGCCATTTTGTTGGCTTGCTCTTCTCACTGCCAATACTCGAGTATACCAACCACTCTACGAAAATGGCACGCGAGCTCTCGTCGCGCACGAACCGAAAGTAATTATCGTTAATTGGCTTTACCGTTTGTTAATTAGCTTTGTGTACAGTGTGGAGATACCGGCGATGCAGGAGCCTTATCTTGTGTACCTAGGACTTGGATAATCTAATGACAATGCACAGAGTAATCAAAGCACGCCAGATTTAAAGAACATTCTTTAATCTTTTTTAAATACTGTTTAAAATACTACACAGTTAAAATTATGATAAAATAAAAATGTGTAGAGTCGTATATTGTCTTCTAAAGTGTTACAATGTGAATGGGTAAAGTTAATTATAATATTTGTCGGCGCAATTGCAAGAAGCAGATGATTTACGGACTCGCAGCGAACAATGTGCAAGCGTCAGGACTACAAATGATATGTACACTGTACATACATGGATATTCGAGTGCGCAACTTTTCCGGAATGCGCTTTTCTATAGTTGGTTCGTCGCATTATTTCTGCGTAATCCGCTGGAGGAAATTTACGACATGTATGCAACGCACGGGATGAAAATTCTAAATTTTGTGATTAATGTCACTTTGTATTTATTTTCGCTGTTTCTATGTTGATATTTACTCCAAACAGAAAACGAAAACAGGATTGATTTGCTGTAAAATTGTCCAGCAGTAAAACTAGTAATAAAAAGCGCACAAATCCTTATTAGATATGCGTCAATCCGCGCGAATGTACACATAGTCATGGAACAGTTGAAGGGAATCAATTTTGAAACGCTCCACAAACAGCCAACGACTATGGGGGTCGTTGCGAACGTCAGCGGCGACAAACTTTTCCAATTTAAACTTGCCACCGCTCGCCATTTTATTTCTTTATTCTTCGGCATGCATTTTTTAGTTCGCTCTGCATTATTTCATAGTTTCATCATAATTTAACACGCTGCCTGCCGTGTCATAAACAATTATATTTGCTGGATTTTACTAGATTTCATTTTGTATTGAAATAGATCAAAGGAAATGTTTTTAACACAACATATATAATTTTATAATTAAATTTTTGTTGTTGCTATAAAGAAAAGTAATTATTTCAAAGCTTTTTTCCTATTTTTTTGTTTGTCTTGTTGGTGCTTGCGTCAGTTTTTCTAAAACTGCTATAAAAATGTTAATCAAATACGATTGTAATTGGAAAAGTGGACAAAAATATAAGCGACGTTATAGAAATGGCAGAAATAACGTGCGCAGCGTGTTGGCATTCGGCAAACGCCTTTTTGCACGAGCCGTTAAACGTGCCCCGAAATATAGATTAGCACGCCGAAGAGCGAGATATATAACGAGTCGGTTTTTTCTTTGCCCGCCATGGCGTGAAATCAGGTAAACCCGGAGAGACGACGGCGCTCTTCCGCAAGCCGGTGTGTAACGCGACGGTCGGGCGTTTCATTGTCTGTGCCATTATTGCCTTATTGGAGCAATTTATCGCGCACCATATAATGTGTCCCGGCGTACTCTTCCGTCTCAATCAAGATCGAATCGTTTTCTATACATCCAACACCCGACGCCTCGCTATCTCACCATCGCGGCCCATCCAAACTCTCGGCTATGAAATAAAGTGCTCGCAGATATACTGCCATCAATAAAATACAAACAAATCTTTAATTTAACAACCTCAATCCAAACACAAAACAAAAATTGTTTTTATATTGTTTTTAAAGTAAAAATATTAATGTTTATTATTTTTTATTAAAATTTTTAGTGTTTTTGTAACAAACAGTATGTAAGAGTTGCCTTAAAATTCGCTCAACTGCAGAGTCACCGAATGATGGCTTCGGTGGTGGCACGTCAGTGTTGCTTCATTCTGGGAGGCGTCCGGGTTGACAACGCCATTGCTCTTCGCGTCCAATCGCCATCTAATATCTTTCGGGGGTATCACGACCGACATTAATGGAAACGTAAACGTAAACGTAAAAGGAAACGAAGCACCTCGACCTCGTGGTTCTTGCCCAGCGAACCTCCAACTGGTTCAATACGCAATCTTTATCCGAACCTTCCACCTCGTCCATTTGCTTCTCATATATCAAATATATCAAGGGATGCAATCCAATCTGTCTTGCTCACAACACGCCCGCTGACGTGCTTTCAATGCAACGCCGCGTAAAACTAATTAGATTTTTCCGCTGACGGCACAACCTTCTTCAAACCCTACGTCAAAGCTGCAAGTAATACAAGCTGCAACAGGCCACTAAACTTCTGTCTATATATTTAATCAACTTTACGCATTAGTCATGTTAATATGACAAACAAGCAAACACCACTTTAGTCGACGTAAAGTGTAAGGGTGAGCCAACATCTAAAGGACTAAGTACGCTTAAGTAAACAAACAAAAGAGGGTAATTAGAAATTTGAAACACCCGTTACAAGACTTGCACACACATTCGATGGCGTTTATTATTGGTTTCTGTGCTACAAAGGAACAAGATGCCTTAGAACGACCCCGATACACAGATGGCTTTAATAATTACAAATTACCGAAGACGATTAATGCGCGGAACGCGATTCTGGGTGCGTTGGACCGCAGAATGGCCGATTCGCACCCGCCATTTTGGTAGAATTTCCCGCTTTGTCCGAGATATTGACGCATCGCCGCGTTTACACACTTTGACGTGTATGGATTACAGATGTAGATACGCAGACGCGCCCACCACACCGAAATTAATTAATTTACGTTCGGATGAAATAACTCGCATGGATTGGGTAGAGGAAATTAATTAGTTTAAAAATTGAGCGTTTAGATGAAGCACGAATTGTTTTTTGAAATGTTCTGTCGGGAACATGTGCACGTGTCTGTAAAGTTTTCCAAACCACATCTCAAATATCATAGACAGTAAAAGTTTGAAGAGCACTTTTGAACGATGAACTGGTTTTTATTTCGCCCGAGGAGTTGGTTCTAATCTAGCTTCGGTTTCCATTCTTTTTCCTATTTTTGGTCCATGGCGTTTGGCTACGGCTACACCGAGTCAAAAGCAGCTCGGTACTACGTGCAGATTTGATATTCCGGGCATGTTTGGGACACTAGTTAGAAAACTCGCTGTCGAATCGTTCAAACTCAGAAAGAACACGAACTGCACGCCGGCACTGATCGTGACTGCCACGTCGTCTTCCTTCCTACAGTTTCTCTCCTTATCTGTCGCATTCGAAGACGTTTACAAAAAAACTGGTGGAAAAGTTAGAGTCGGCCATGTGTACGCGGCGACAAAAGTTTGGTCAGTAAGTGAAAGGATAAGAGATAAGCCAAAATTTAAGATTCGCCGCGTAGAGATGAGAAACGCGAAATCTAAGGTGCTGCCAGATCACGCCGACTGTCCGCGCTGTCAGTTTGTCGCGTCGTGAATTGGATCTGCGGTTGGTGGCCAGAGGCCAACAATGTGTGCTCCAACTCTTCGAAAGTAGCAAGTTCCGATTTCGTGTGCGCGGATTGGAGTGAGATGGCGTACAAGTGAAGGAACTGTACGAAGTGGCAAAAGCAGAAGGCGGTAAAGCCAATTCAATTGAATTCTATACCTTCCAGGAAAAATTGGGACTGGGGAGACATGCCGATGTCCGCAGCACGAAGCCCCGGACCCTTTTATTGGTGTCGGCAATATTGATTTGACTAATACAATCTATATCAATAAGCTGGAATCAATTTTGATTGAAACGATACGAATTGTGAATTTTGGTACCTGATAATTGCCATTTATATTATTTACATATGTTTTTGTTCTTTGGTTGGCTCATTCTAGAAATTTACATTGTTAAATCAGTATTTATAAATATTGAAAGCATAATTAAAATACGTATTGAAATCGTGAATGATGGCGGATATATTGATTGAAGCCAATTTTTTGAAGCCGACGTTTAATTGAGGTTTTGTGGCGCGCTGTGGTCCGCAGGGGGAAAAAGTCGAAAACTAGAATTTTATTACGCCGAATATAAATTACCTATGGCCGCTTCCCATCGACGACAAATTGATGATGACGCAGCGGGATCGCCGCATGTACATGCACTTTCCGTTTGCGCTGCAATTGATAATTGAATTTCGCTTTCGCCACGCCGTCCAAAAAAAACCGGACCGGTTTCAATCAAAATGCAATTATAAAGTGTAATTATTTCCATACAATAGAGAATTAGGTACTAATGCTAAAACAATAAAAAATTGCTTAATTGTTTTATGCTGTAACATGTCAGAGATAAATTTTGGAGAATCAACTTTTTGTCGTTGGAAAATTGACTAACATCATATATCATCCCCCGCTTGATTGTGAACATGTTTTGCATGCCGTTGGTGAGAGCGTAGTCTATAACAAGAGAAACAGGCGAAAAACCGATCGCCAACAAGCCTAATTCCAATTTAATAATTAGCTCTCCCTTTCGCCGTTCGTTTACCGTTTGCGCTGTTGGTCAGCAGCCGTGCATCTCGCCACTAAACAAAACAACTTCTAATTTATTACGGTCGACCTCATACGTAGTATAGCGCATCTGTATGCTTGGCGCGCTTAGATTGTGGTCGGCAGCCCGCCTGGGACCACAAAACTTCCCTGCACTTTTTTGTATTCACGCCTGTGTTCACCGCGCTTATTTGCCCGCATGCGGAAACTTTCATTCTGCAGTGTGCAATGGCTTGTTACGACCGAAACAACAACGAGGTGATATCCAGAAAATACTTGTACGACATATTTCTGCTTGTTTTTAAACTTTCAAGAGGTGCTTCAAGCAGCTCGAAGTAATTTAAGCTGCAGCCAAGAATTTTTAAATTACTTACAAATTTAACTTTTTAATTACTTACATTCCAGGTTTAATCACATTTTGAATTCCGTTTCAAACAAAATTTGCGGTTTGAGAATAAAATTTTGACTATGGTGGTCGATGAAAGCTTACGTTGCACATTTATGGTGCAACAATAAATTGCAACGAAAAGCCTTGCGGATTCATGCGATGTGTGGAAGTGTGACCCATTTAAGTCCACCCATCCGCTAACCGAGCCAAAAAGACCAACGTCGCGTGATCCTAAGAATGCTCGAACGCCGAACGCCGTTCTAAATCTTGTGCGAATACATTTGATTAAATTATATCTATCTATTTAAAATGTTTCCTCGCGCGGCTTGCTCAGTGCAATTCGAGATTTACTAACTTCGCTCCAAACGCTGAGTCGGGCAAAGCGTTTGCACAGAAATTCAATAATACAACTTCTTAGTACTGCGTACTTTTGGTAGTTTTGTAACTTTTTGCTCGAGATTCAATTTAAAATGCAAAAGCAAGGACGAGACGACGAATATTTCATTCGTTATGAGACCATCCGGCTGCCATCGACGCCCGATTACGCTTGACTTGCTTGCGAGGTGAATCTAAATAGTTCGACGGCTGATAGGAAATCGTGGAATTCATTAGAGACGCTTTACAAGACGTAAACGTCATTCGAGGCGAGAGACGAGCGTGCCGTGCAAGCAGCAGGTTCGCGGTTGGCTAGATTATATCGCAAAAGTATCTATAGATTAGCTGGCGGAGTGGTTGAACGTATTCATGTCAGTTTCGAGGAGTTTTCCCGGCGGGTCTCCAATGCCGCACCAGCGCGCTTCATGTATAATTTGTCATTGCAATGCAGTACGCCTGATCACTCTGTTCGATATTCATTATCTTGGCTTGTTCGAACGCTCGCGTATGGTGTTAATTAAATTGACATGGCGATTTAAACGGATTTTAAGCAAAGTATATTTATTTTCTCTGTAAAACGCTGTTATATCGATTTGTAATTTGAAACCTGGTAAAACCGACCAACACAACTCTTATACATGAATATTTGTTATTGGATATTAAAAATATTGCGTTATAAACACAAAACAACAACAACAACAACTTTACAGTCGTTGTGCTGCGACAGGAAATGAAAAATGAACGAATCAGAAACATCTGTGTACGTATAAATTAAAACAAAATAGTATCAATACGTTTGAATGCCTGCAATGTGCTTGTAACCGTTCATGTTTCACATGGTAATATATTTCTATGGTGTATTTATGTCAAACGTGCGTATTTTGTGGCTCATGCAAAAATTGATCGAATAATTCGAATTTTGTACGTGTGCAAATTGCATTTTCGAAATATTCGCCTAAATTTCCAATAACGAAGTTCACAACGTTCAGATGGGGCGCGTAAAAACGTCTAAAATAATGCAGCAGCGTCAGGTCGCGTTTTCCAAGCTTTGCGCTTATTAAATTTCCCCCATCCCGCTGCGTTTTCTTATTGGGCATCGGAAATGTTCAGCTCGCCCAACAATTTTTTGCACAACGTCACGGGGACCACGCCAGCCTGGAGAAGATACCAAGTGATTGACTCGCAACTGAAATATTAATCTTAAAAAATTCTGGCAGGTCTTTCAACTTGATATTTTTTAAGAACAAAAAAAAACACCCCGAAGCATATTGCGTTGGAAAAAAAAACACGTTAAAATTTTTATTAGCAAAAATAAACAACATTTTAAAAACATCTTGAGAATAATAGGTGTTTACCTGGAAAATAACGATTTAATCGTTCTCTCCGTCGATGGTTACCATAAATTCCACCGCAGCAGCAAGTTGCTACTATCACCGTGAAGACGATCCAACTGTGCACAGTCATGATGATGCCGAAACTCGCTCTCCCACACGCAATTATCCTTCACATGTACAAGTTTTGCTCAACAACGGAAATTTTACACGGAATTTTCATGTTGCATGCAACTTGGCAAATTGAACTCTGAATCGAACAAACGTGTTGTAATCAAAATCGTCTGCAGGACTACTTATTATGTAATGTTCACAAAGGGGTGAAACTTTGGCGGGCACACTGTTTTGGCACTTTCCAATTAATTAACCCGTTGCACACTCAATTCGCACTGACGCACGCCCGCACCGTTCACACATGCACAAATCAAACTCGCGCGCTCACCGGTTCAATCTCAACGTGATAAATGCTTGATATTTCCGGCAATTATGCAATCAGTGTAAATTGATTAAGTCATTATTTAAATATGTGCGTTGGGCAATAATTTCACACTTAATATATGAATTTCTTATGTGTTTTACGTTAATTTCTGTTTAAAAACACATTTTTTGTAAATTTGCGGTTGATATTGAGGAAAAAAAGAAAATAATTCAAAGGTTATGTGAAGAATGTATGCGTAAATAAGGTAAAATCTGGTTTATAAACTTCCCGCGACAGTTATAACCGTTTTCCGCTTGCAGATGGATTAGAAGCACAGCAAACTTCAAAAAAGAGTGTTGTACACTCAGCACGTGAAACACCATTTGCACAACATCCACAAGTTGAAGAACTATGTAGCTGGGAGTTTGTCAAAGTTTGACATCCTTGCCGCAGATTTTTCCGCGTAGTGTTTTCGACACCGTGCAGGAATGCGCGTGGCGTGGCCGGTTGCGTTCTCAACGTGACAGCGTCGCGTCGACGACTGGCATCTCGCGGCGCTGCGATGCGCTTGCGGAACTGCGTCGACCTTTTCTAACCGGCGCCTCCGCCAATATCCCCAGTCGGCGCGCCGCGAGCGTCGCCCGCGCGCTTGGAAAGTCATCATCGTTAAAGCTGGTCCGAGGCGCCGTCACCTAAAAGCCGACACTCTTCGAGTGTGCAAAGGATCGCAGCGTGATAGCGCTGATGGCGCATGGAAAGGATGCGATGCGCGACTCAAAGGGTTGCTGTCGCTTAGACTGGACGCGCCCGGCGTACATCCTGCTTGTTAATTATTTATGTTTGTTCTTAGTTTAATGTTGTCAACAAATGTCTTGGAAGTTTCTCACTCTGGGCGAAATTGAGAGCTGTCCTTGGCTCTTACGCAGGCCGGGCATTGTTTTCCGGCAGCTGATGGTTATAATGGTCCGGTTGACTTTAATATAACTCACAAACTTTTCAACTTTAATCATTCCAGTCATAAAATATAATTGACAAGGTACAATTTAATCTTGTGGCTTGTCACACATTGAAAAATATTTTTATACATTTCTGTTATTATCTTGGAAAGATTTTCACGTTTGACACGACGTCGTCAGAATATCCACCCTCTACCTGTCTCAGAAAGTGTATAACTTTGTCTGGGGGATGATGGGGACGGCGCTAATAATATCCGTGAACGACAGTGCGCACCCCTTCTTCAACGATGCGTTATGATCGTCGATTTCGCCGTCGATGCCTCAATAGACGTCTCACGCTCTCACCGTACACGCGCGCACGTGAACATTTCCGGACACGTACCATGCGCCGCCTCCCTACACGCATATTGTGGGGGTGCGCGGCGGTAAAAGTGCCGCTTCGCTCCCTTCAATGATTTCATCATTTCTCTTTCCACTCGGTGTCGGCGGACGGAGTGCCAAGTCGAAATTACAAACGTTTCCTTTGTGTATTATCGAAATCAATTTACGTCCGTGTTATGAGTATCATTCCAGACGTCGAGCGCTTAAGGTTCAAAGACAAAAACGCCGAGAATGGTCGTTAGGAACTTTTCGGTAGAGGGGCAAAATTGCCTGCAAGAAAAACAAGGAGAAAGTTTTCGACTAAAGTTAATTTCGTGTTTTAGTCATAAAAATGTTAATATTTACTGAAGTAAGGTATTTATAGAAGTTATTATAACTCATTACAACTCTAGAGCTGTAAATATATATTTTTAGTTGTGTAAATAGCGTGTTTATTAACAAAAATCATTTTAGCAGTATTATTCCACTGCATCCGATGCATTCAGAAACAAGGGAGTATCGCATTCTCTTCCAGCATAAAATCACTCAAGGGAATTGACTTTGCGATTATTTTTATCGATTGTTCTCGTTGCTGTGCAACTGTGCATCTGTGCAACTGCAGTTTTACCAACACTGCAACACAATATTGCAAATTTCAACTCGCAATCATCGTTATGCAACCGCGCAATAACTGGTTCACACCAAATATATTCCACCTCATCTTCTGGCGATCACTCAACGCCTACTCGATATTCCGCGCGTAATTGAAATAATTAAAGTGCTTCCGATCGTGTAATGAGTGTGTACATTGCATATAAATGCTCGCCGGTGAGTGCATTCTCTGGTCTTAGTAGTATTTTTTTATTTCAGCACGGCGCAGCGAACGAAGAAAAGTGTTCGTTGTGTATGGTCCGCAGAGCGGAAAGCGGAAAGCTTAGGAAGTTAAAGAAAGCACTCTTATGCATTGCTTCCTAAGCGCACAAGCTCCGGAAAACGGCGAGCGCGGTAACGCGCTAACAAAACTGATCGGTAAAATAAAATAAGAAAAAGAATCGGCATGTTGAAAAAGTGCCCCATCGGACGGAAGTAAGCGGTACTTATTATGTAGAGGAATTTAACAGTTTGTCGCGTTTAAATAACACCCAACCGGATGTGCAAAATTACACACTAAAGTTCACGCGATATTTTAATAAAATAAATTGTTGCGGATCCTAAATTATTTATTAAAGTGGCACACTCGACTCGTTTTGTTGTTCTTATAATATTTATGTGGACCTCTCCAAAAAGTAAATATTTATGATCACATTTTGGGGTCAAACTAAACAAGCCACCACTCTAAAAGGATTATAAGAGGTCCTTCATGAATATGTATTGATAGCGCGATGAATTAAGTAAGTAAATATTTGTGCAGTGTTGGGCCGTATATCAAGACAAAAATTACGAGGGATATTTCCGCGTCATCCGCATATTTTTGGTATTTAATCAACCGTGACTTAAAATATTCGAAAAATTATTTATGTGAACTTCCAAAAAACGCTGAATTGTTATTGACAACTCGCATATAACATGCGATTCGAAACCGACAACCCTGTAGCGATGCGAAACATAAAAGTTTTATTATTTCCAGACGACATGAACGCTGCCACCACGCAATTGTTACGATTGTGCGGTAAATCTGCCCGCACTCGCGCAGATGGATAGACAAGAAATATTAAAGTCGTAAGAGACAAACCGCAATTTTATCGACAGCTGAATGTTAAGTGCAATATAAGAAACGTGTGTGGTGTGTGACACGAATATAATCTTAAACTGTTTCGAGCACGCGCGTAAAAAACGTTCGCTTCGAATGTCAAAGAGTAACACGAGACAGATGAGATGAGAGTGTCAAAGGTTGAACATTTTTTGCTGTATACAACAATAAAAACAAAAACGTCAGCAAAAAATAAAATAATAGATTTTGCGCAGAATGTGTTTTCTGTTTAGTTATGTAGTCAACTTGGCGTTAAAATACATGTGAGGTTGTTTGAAGATTTTGGCGCATTCTTGAATAATTCCGTTTTGAGATTCGCGAAAACATGCTCAAGAATTCTCACGTTCCGCCGTTGAATTTTACATTTTGGTGACGAACAAACTCAGCGAGTGTAAACTGGCTTTAATTTTAGCACTAAGGACTAAACAAATGTTTGACGTTTATCGTGGAAATTGTTTATCACTTTAAACTTTCGGATGTAAAATAAAATCAAACAAGCGTCGCTGGTATCATAGATGCTACTTAACCCAAATTCACATCTAACTAGAAAGGTTTATGTTTGAGTTTATTTTAATGGCATTTCAAGTTAATACCTTTAAAATACAACCGGAACGGCTCGAAATGAAGCACTAATTATAAAACGGTTTAAATTACATTAAAAGTGCCGCGCATGGCCGCAAGGTACGAATTGCGACCAAAAAACAACGAAAACAAAAAACCGCAATGAATGGGGCGAATAAAAAACGAGCAAAGACGTGAAAAACGTATTATGCTGAAACGTGCTAGCAGAATAACGAGTTCAAGGTTTAAATTGACAAGATCTAAAATATGCGAAACACCTTTCAGCTAAAACAAGAAAAAAAAACATTTTATTTAATTTTTATGAACATTATTCAGGAAGAAGAAAAAAGAAGATTAATAATAAGGAGAATTGAATATTACTGGATTGGAAATATTTTTTATTGAAATAATATATTTGTCGTCCCGAACAACACGCTGTTGTGAAGCTCTTTTTGCAAAACCCTCGCTGCTAAATCTACTTCTCTAGTTATTTGTTTTTTGGCTGATGGAAAAGCTGGCAAAAAGGTTTCACATGAAGCGAATACTAAATGTAACTCGCACCGCACGGCATCGAGGGGCCGAGGGCAAAATGCAACCGGAGAAAAACGCGCCCCGAAACGGCGAATGTCAACCGTTGAATGCGGCGGCGAACGAAAACGCGCGACAGCTAATCTCCGATATTAAGATTTATGCATCGGGAATTTTAAATATGTTGCTGTAGCCTTAACCAGCTCCCAACAGCCAACACCAAAACACTCTTACACCTGTATGTGTAAGCTGCTACATCTGCTACACAAAGAACGATCATGATCACGAGTTTACACAAAAATATACTGTGTGCTTCCAAAATAAATCAAAAATTTAAAATTTACTTGTTATTACGACGAAAACAAAACATTGAATATTTTTCTGTCTGTAAATGGAATATAATAATTGTGTTTGTGTTTATTTTGTATTCAGATTCGCCTGTTAACATTTAGTAAAATAAATCAGTTCGTGCATGCAGATGAAGTATGGGCGATTCAGTGGAAATTACATTACGCAATATTAAATTACGTTTTAAGCACAATAGTACACTGAAAACACATTGCGCATTCAAAGACTGGTCGTTATCAGTGCTCAGGATAGCAAAACGAATTGTTATTCGCTGAAAAGTAATCAACACACATTGATAACCTCAAACACATGCTCCGCATTGAAATCTAATTCAAGCGCTGGTAGATGGCGCTACTTGTAACAAAATAAGCAAAAATATATATATAAGGCATTCAGGTGGATGGTGACAAATAAGTGTATTATATTCACATTTATAGAATTGCTCTGTTATCGCTGTGTAAAGAGAAAAAATCAGACGATGGCAGCCCGTCGAAGTTAAGCTTGTGGAAATTATCGGAAAAAATTCCCGGTCGAAGACAAAAAGAAAAATGACTCGACGTTTTCCACAAGAATGAAAACCTTGACGTTTTGCGTCAAGTCATTCCGCAAGAATGATTTTCTGAAGCAATGGCAAAGAACTTCACATTCACATATGCTGGATTTACCGGATTTACATTCGGACAGGAACCGAATGGAGATTTCCTGCGAGACTTGAAAACACAATCGAAGTTTCAGCGTCGGCGAGTGGATTTATTTTTAGTTGCATATAAATTGTTACAAATTGATGCATTGCACATGCGGTCGGCTTGGTATCGTCAGCCATGCGTTTAATATTTATGGACTGAATGACGCGGTGTAGAGTGCTAATGGCATTCATTATGCGCACATGCCCAAGTGGAAAATTTCATGCGCGGATGGGTGCGACATCAATGCGCCGCGAATCAATGCAATTTTCCCTACGAAATGCTCGTTACCGACGATTTTCTGCTCTCGAGTGTGAAAACGCATACTGACATAATTATAATCAGTCGACGTGT